GATTTAATCATCAATCGAACGATTCTTCAGTTGGGCTGTAAGTTGATAGAATTTTTCCTCAAATTCCTCATATATACGGATAATTGGCTGTACGGATGTGTCGCAATCGAACGGGCTTATGCGGCTATCATCGGAATCAGTTTTAATAAAATAAAGAGTAAGAAAATTGCGAAATGGACACTCTTCATTCTACCAATCATAATTATGATTACTATTATACATGAACCTCTATATCGAGATTTGTATGATGATGAAGAAGAACAACGTACCTGGTGTGTCACGCATTATTCACGATTAGTACAAAATTACAATTCAACAATTATTCTTGTTCATTTTCTCATACCTTTCATCACCAATTTATTTTCGGCTTTCTTTATCATTCTGATAACTACACGTCAACGACATGCTGCTCAATCACAACTGACCTATCAACAACATCTTTTCAAACAACTGATTGAACATAAGCAGATCCTAATCAGTCCACTTGCTCTGGTCATCTTATCGTTGCCGCGTCTGATCATTGCTCTATTATCAACATGTATCAAATCATCCCGAAATCCATGGTTATATCTTGTTGGTTACTTTATATCATTCGTACCATCAATGCTCATGTTTATCATTTTTGTATTACCTTCAGATTTATACAGTAAAGAATTCAAAGACGCTATCAAAATTTGTCAACGACGTTCACAATGATGAAGATTATTGATAAGACAAAAGAATGTGAGTGTGGATATCGCAGCATAGATATGTTAGCCCACACCCACATTCTCAGAATGTTAACTGTTGGTTCTAGGTGTTCTTTTTTATAGAAACGAGCTCTGATCCGCTTGTTGCATCATTAACCTAACTGAAAACGCTTACTTAAAATTTTCAATCTATTTTTACTTCGATGCTTCTACAAAAAAATGAAACTACAAACTCCACTTTCGTTGAATTATTTATTTCGAATGCTACATATACATTAGAAAAAAATTGATGACATTATACCTATTGTAGACAAGAATAACTGTTGCTTTTATGAGAATTTCTTAATCGAAATGTTATGTCGTTTTAGATCATGAGTGAATGCGATGATTTTTCACGAAGACGAATTTTCACTGAAATAACTTTTCTTTCATGTTATTTCCATAATCAGTTACATTTGCAGAAGTCATTTCATCAGCAGTCGTATTGTCAACAAATACAAAACTTCCATCTTGAGGGTGTTCATTTCTTATTCACACCCTCAAGATGGACTAATCTTTTCTTTATCCATATCCATATGCACACTTATACCCGCCTAGACTCACTCCTCAGCTATGTTCTGAGATTTTAGATATTGATCATCGTTGAGAATCAAAAATATGAAGCTGCAAACTAAAATTTAAATAAATATCTTAAGAGTGGATAAAAGAGGCAGCCATCAAATACGCCCTCGCTCTCATGCAAGCTGGTGTGAACCTCTATAGACTTTTAAAATTTATTGAAAATATTTCTTCAAGGTTCGAAAAATTTCGATAACTAGAAAATAATCTAAGATGAGATATAGATATCGTACCAAGACTCAAAAGGTTAATCTGTTCAACTATTCTTTTGAAGAAATATATTGTTTTAATAATTCTTGTAATCGGTTTCGATTGATTATTTCATAATGTCCAGGATAAACTTTTTCTAAGTCTCTATGCTCATCCAACCAATTAAGCATATAGTGAGCACTTTTTATATAATCAGAAATAGATGATGTTGGTAATTGATCAAATAGATTTTCACCATTTCCACAATCATAAACAAAATCACCTGTAAATAAAGCCTTTTTTCTTGAATAATAGCAAACGATACTCCCAGGTGTATGACCAGGCACATGTATTATTTCAATTTCATCAGCATTATCAGCACCAAGATTAATTCGATGTCCATTTTCGATAGGTGTACATTTTGTTGGCGGAACTTTGTATTCACTTGCTAAGAAAGTTTCATATGGTTGAGCACGATAATGTGTAGGACAAGACCAATTTAATGTTGCTGATTCTTCACCATTACTCAAACCTAGATAATCATCTTGATGAATAAGTACATTATCGAAATGATGTGCACCACCGCTATGATCGAAATGCGAATGAGTACATACAACAATACATTCACGATTAGTATCTAATAATTCAAGCTTTTCCAAATGTTGTTTCAAATTACAAACACCGAGACCAGTGTCAATGACAACATCTCGATTTGTTCCACGTATAAGCCAACTATTCGGACGATTACCAAGATAATAATAATCTTCTGTTGTTAAATATAAATCAGATTCAATCTTTTTTGTATTAAACCATGATGGATGTTCTACTCTATTGTAATTCATTTCACAGATAATCACACTTCTATTAAGTGCGTACTACGTTGTTGTATCTAAAAAATATTTTTTGAAACTGAAAAAACTCAATTCGGTTAGAAACTAAGGCTGTTACTTTATCTTTGTTTTACTTTATAATAAAGAATAAAGCAAAGATAAGGTAACACAGCTATTAGAAACATCGTGTTCATATATATATCTATATTCAATAGCGAATGACAAGTTAATACATCTCTAATATGACGTATGAGACTGTTTGAAACTATGACTTACTGAGAAATTTGATAAAATTCATAGAAACAACATCACAACAAACACATATTCAGTTGCATTATGCACATAATCCAATCAGATGATGTTTCGCAACCTCTTCACGCAGCCATCTGAAAATAAATAGGTAGCGCTGTCAATGTACAAAAAGAATTTTTCATTTTAATTGTTTATTATAATTCTAACAGAGACTTTATTTTAATTAGAGAATTTTTTTAACATTTTCTTTATTATCCCTATGAACTGAGGTTGACAATTGCTTGTTAAGATGAAAAAGAAGCAAAAGAGAACAATAACGATGGTAGTAAGAAATCAATATTTAAAAAAAGAAAATCACTCGTATCAAGCAGCGACATCTTTTAAAGTAAAAAAATAAAGGGAAAAAGAAACAATCTCTTGCTTATGGTGATTAATGAATACATGCATGTATGTTTATGAAACTTATAACAAATATATTTATATAAAAAATTACATAGGAGAGGTAGCATATTTATAATGGCCATATTGCTGATACAGTTTATTTAAAAGTTAATTACTTCAATTTTCGCGTGTGTTACCCTCTTTGCTAATTTATTTAGAAATTTACTATTTCTATGAATATTCATTGAGCTGTACTCATTCTTTTCGGGATATTCAAATGCCAAATATGAAGCGAAACTTAAATGATATTTATACACTTCTGCTGATCTTTCGATGTGTCTGTAAAATTTTAATCAGTATCTATACAAATAGCCATTGACTGTGTATTCTTTCACTAGTAATAGGATTCGTTTTTCTAATCGTCTTTCTGATGTAAAACCAGATTGTTTATCAATGAAAATTTCCATTTAATTATACGCATATATATTATTCTCTGTCGACACATTTTCCATCTTGTTCGATTAAATTTTTTTTAGAGTAGCTGCGACCATATAACGCTACATTACTACATTGTTCAATGGCTGCACGTCCTAAAGCAAAACGACTGAAATGTTGTCATATGATCAACAATCAAGCTCACACTCAATTTGAAAATTTGCCTAATGATATAATTCTAGAAATCCTCGATTATCTTGATGAAAAGGATATTCAACAAACATTTTACAACCTCAACCAGCGCTTCTCACAACTCATTGATCATTATTCGGGTCGATCTGTATCACTCTTCTTCTGCTCGAAAGATTCGCCAAAGATAGAACAATATTGTCATGAACTCATCGTGCCGAACAAGAGCCGAATCCGTTCTTTGAAATTCAATCGGGTAGGTCGAATTCGAACAGTGTTGTCCCAATGCGCACTGAACGAGTCATTCACTCGTCTCGAGTCAATCTCATTGTACGAGACCGAACTGCAAGATTTACTGCCACAATTACATACACTTCCGTTACTGCCACGACTCAACGCGTTACAGATCAAATCCGATCTGTCGGTGCTCAGAAATAATGCACTGAATCATATCTACTCCATAGCACTTCAATGTTCAACTCTGATCTCCCTGACTATCGAAAATTCATACTCGACTACTTGCGATTTATCTTTTGAACAATTAAATATCGGTACCAAACAAACCAATATCGAAATTCTCAAATGTTTACATTCAATACAGCTACAACAATTACAGTTTCTCCTTGAGAAAACGCCAAAACTTCGTTGTCTTCAGATCAGCCAAGTTCAATCAGATCCGAACAAGGCCGCGGAGCTATTTGTAGTACCTAAACTCCATCAGTTGTCAACACTATCCATTGGTTGTGACTGTCGCTGGCCTGACGTTTATGCATCGAGGAAGGTCATCGCTGAACTTGGTGTCACAACGAAATCTCTAAAATTAATATTTCGAGTTCTAAATTTCATCAAGGATGCCACTGAATGGAATAAACTTCTCAATGAAAATTTACCGCAACTAGAGAAACTCAAAATCATGTTATGGTACGAGTGTGGCGATTTAATCAGATTAGGGAACAAATTTCGACAATTTTCAATGAATTTGTTCAAGCTACCTATATGGGATATGGAACCATGGAGTATCACCTACGATGCGTATATGTTGCGTGAAGATGCAATCGTCTTTGAATTCAGAAAGTAATTTTTCGCAGTTACGTATGAAATAAAACCTATCTCTTCACTGTTTTTTTTTCAGGAAACGAACATTAACATCACCATCGTCCGAGTTTACTTTGAGAGTGAGTGATTGTGACACTAATCGAAACCTATGCTGCCATTTGCGTGATTTTGTGAAACAGTGGATAAGATCTCCATCTCTTCGTTTACATTTTATTAAGCACGACTTTGAACTTTATCAAATACCAATAATCACGGGTACTTTAACCAACCTTCAAGAAATCACCTTCGATGGTTTAATGGGATCTCCTTCATATTTCATAGATACCATTGATGGCGACGACTTTATTCATGAGAACGTGCTTCTGTTGAGAATTCGTTGCACACTATCCGTAAAACAAATCTCTGTTCTGCTCCAGTGGTTTCCATCGACTCAAGATCTCGAGATTCAATTAGATAATTACCGCAATGAACTTGAACAAAGGGAAATATTGATCATGGTATCGAAAATGATAACTCAAAAAGTGAGGATGAAGGCTATTTTTTTCATGAGAAGAAAGCGCAGTGAAACAATCGAATGGCTCCGAACAACCATAAATCAAAATAACGGTTTTGACGAGCACGATGCGTCTAGGATGTATTCGATTCGAAAGAAACCTACTTCCATTATATTATGTTGGTAATAAATTGAAACTTAAAATGTAAACAATACCGGGATGAAAAGAATGTATGCAAGTCTGACTGTGGGCATAAAAAGCAAAAGGTTCTGTATCTATGTCTTATTCACATCCATCCTAATTTAACACTTTAAATCTCCAGTTTGTTAGTGACGCTTTTAAGAGTATTTCTTTATTGGTTCTTATCAGAGAATTGACGCATGAATCATTGATCAGCCCGTTACCGGCAAGAATCAGGCACTCAAGATTGGCATTGTATTTTTGAAGTACATCGGCGACGAGCTGAACTCTTAGATCAATTATTTGATTCTTGTATAAACTGAGATAAATCAATGTTCTATTTATCTTAAGCATTTAAGCGAGATAATCTGCACTCAAACCCACACTCACCCTCAAGTAATAGAAATTAAAATAGATATAGGGGTAAATTTAATATTTTGAAAAAATTTAAAAAAATAAAGTTATATATGAATAGGATTATTGTTTTATTTTTGCTTTCAATCTTCGAATACTGTCCTGTGCGTTAGCGACGATATTATGTGTGGTTGCTCGTGTTTTTTTTGCGATTTCTAATGATTTTTCATGATAATTTAAAGCTTTCGAATAGTCTCCTTTACTTTCAAACAACGATCCAAGACTACCATAGATTGCAGCGATTTGTGGATGATCTGCGGGTAACGCTGCTTGACGAATATGTAAAACTTTTTCATAATAAATTAAAGCAACATCGTATTGATTGAGCATCATATAGATCGCGCCTATAGTATCATATGTTGCTGCTAGATTAAGAGAATTAGGAGGAAGTGTTTCTTCTTCAATATTCATTGCTTGAACCAAATAAAGTAAAGCTTCGTCATAATCTTGCATTTTTCTATGAGTTTCACCAAGAAAACTAAATATTTCTGCTACATCTGGATGATTTTCTCCTAAGAGACGTTGACGTATTTCTAATGCTGCTTGAAAATGTTCGAGACTTTCCTGACAATCATTACATCTTAATGAAGCTCGCCCAAGTCCTAGTTCCGCATTTCCTAAAGTTAATTGTGCTTCTTTTAACATACGTTTATAACATTTTCGTGCTTGTTCATTTTCTTCCATTCGAAGTAAAACTTTCCCAAGACTATCAAGATCAGTATCATCACCAATTTTACTTTTCATATGAGCAAATAGTTCGTTCAAATCAAAATCATCATCATTGGCTAAAGTTGCACGTACTATCCACATTTGATCTTTCGTATCTTCGGATACACTTTTAATACAAAACAAAGCTCCAAGCATAATTAATATTTCATATTCACCATGATAATCACTTTTCTTACGAATATCAGCGAAAGCTTTAGTTCGTAATTTTGGATCAATCTCAATTTCAAATAATATCGGTCGCATTTGATTTCGTCCTTGAGACGATGGAGGATGAGTAAATGTAAGAGCAATAGATCGATCTCGACTCGTTGATAAAAA